AAGTTGGTAAAACTTAACCATCGGCGATCTTTTCAGTTCGATTGCCGAACTTTGCAAAGTCATGACCCTGCTTTATTGGCATCGAGGAAAGGGTACGCAGTATCGGGTAAATAATTTATCAAATCCACCGCTCATTTCGACGTTTTTATAAAAAGCCAATCTTTTATTATATTCGTAATCTTAATTTGCAACACTTCTCAGTTACGATTAGTCACGAGTACCCGGATCTTCTATGTCCGACGTAAGATGGAGTTGCTTGGCGGTTACGTGTATTACGAAAGAGGGGTTCTGATTGGTGTTTCCTGGATCTAGAAATTGCGAAAAAGAAAAATACCTACACGGAAAAGAGATAAGGTTGTCAAACCAATATACGCATCAACAATGACGAGATTTTTTTTTTACAAACCTGAATACAAATCAATGCAATATTTGCCAAGAATCTGCGTTGAAATATAATATAGGTACACTCTATTATACTATTCTGTCCCATGTCCACCAATAATTTTCTCACAGAGTCTCCTGATCTCACCCTCGATCACGTCGTAATCAACTAGAATGTTGTAGTGAGCAAGAACCATCCGATATGCGGGAGGATTGCTACAGAATAGACTGTATGTGTTATCCCCAAATGAAACAGAATAAAGATTGGTAGAAATGTTGCCAACCTTGAAGCATGGCATCATCAGTAATCAAGCCAATGAATACGAGTGACATAATAACGCTCATAAAAACGCAAGAAATGGAATTTACTGTACCGATATAAAAGGAACCGAAATAAGAGAAGGAACGATCTGTAATGTCAGCAGGGAAAATGTGAGCTTCCGAACAGTTTTTTGAAAAATGAGAACTTACTATCCCGAGAGCAGCAAGAACTAAAAGAATCGTCCTGGATGAAAACGATGTAATGTTCAAGGCGGAGACTTAAAACCCTATTACGATCCTTCCTACCTAATAACGCTGAAATAATTCATGATGAAAACAAGAACCCTCTGTTAATATGTCAAATTTTTGGGATGACAATGGTGGGGGCAGGCAAGCCCTTCACATGCAGATTAACCTCTTGCTGATTTTACACATAGGACAAAAATATAATAATAAAACATGATATCTGACATATTACACAGATTGTTGTCTATTTGTCGGGTTTATACTACCCTAAAAAGAAAATTAAAATATCCGGTTATTTTTATTGTGTGAGTTTTCATCATACGTATTTAGGTCTTATCGATTCTGAAAGGGATAACTTTAAATCGAAGTCCTGCGATGGCTTAATTCAAATTGCATGTTTCATAATATCGTTTTATAATCGTTTACGTAATTGATCTATAAAAAAGTTAGTTTTAAGCTTAATATTAACAGTAGATAGCTTAATTTGTTGATGGATTTATGTTGTACCAGAATTAGTGTTAACAGACAAATAGTAAATGTTGATTCTCCGTGGCAGGCAATTGTGTATAATTAGAGTCAGTGTGCTGAGCGTGCTGAGCGTGGCAAGCAAAAATGCTTTCAGTTAGTGTAGTAATTGTAAATTACCCAAAATGTAGCGAATAACACAGCCTGCTTTAACAAATGCTTAACCGATGCATGTAACTTTAATTGTAATGACACATTTGTTATTTCACCGAAAGTTATTTCACGTGACACATTGTTTATCGCACTTATCGATGAAATTTATGTCAGTGAACCCCCCCCCCCCAATTTAATTGTGTACACCTGACAACCTATTTAGAAATGACATTTGTTCAATAGTCACTGTCTGGAATACGGCTGATCTTATCCAGAATATACATACCCGTACGATTTTTAACTGCGCCTGGCCGAAATGTTTTAGCATGTAACTGGTATGAGTGCTCATTGCATGAAATGTTTATTTTGGCTGCATTGAAAAAGAAACCCATTTGTCTTAAATGATGTCAGGCACAAACCCTGGAATGAGGCTAGGCCTTTAGTAGCGTTGGATAAAAAATAGTATAGGTAATGTGTATAAAATGTGCCCGAAAACACATTTGTTGTCTTTCCAGAGAACATCAGCTTTTCCTTTCAACATGATAATTCTCATGTACATACTTGGATAATGTGGTGCCTTCTATTTCATCGACCTGCTCAGAGCCCAGATCTCAACCCTATCTGCTATTGTAATTGTGTATGGTCATAAACACATAAAAAAACTTATTGCTATTTTGAAGGATAGCAGCTGAAATTAATAAATACAGTAGTTATAAAGAGTTAAAAGGTTGTAATTGAGAACAGATAATGTATTGGTACTAATTTAAAAAGTTTGTGATTATACGATTTTACTGATTATGACATCAATTTTATTAATTAATATTAAACGTATAACAAAACTTTTAAGGTAAAAAATGTGTTTGTTGTGCTGGTAGGGAATGTGTATTGTAAGAGTGGATAGAATTTCGCTATGTAGTATTAATTCGATCATAGGTTTGCTGACGGGAATCGAAACTTTCTGGATTTTCTCTGTAGTAGTAGTGTATTACCACATTCCTACATGTCTATCTTTACCGTTATTTGATTCATCAGAGATAACGTTGTAACACCATTAAACAATATCCATTTCTAAAACGCATTTCATATTCAAGCAGAGATAATTTCAAATAACAAACTTTGTTATAAAAGTTACACTCTACACTTATAATTATTCATACTAAATAGCATTCATCTCCCAATGCTAACAATTATAATAGCCCACAATGTGCCGCCATATTAATATGTTCTCATCTATTTGTTACAGTGTTCTTGTGTTAATATACTCGGTCATTAATTATTACATATCACAATATTTGCAGGTCTCCCTGTTGATGCAACCTTTCTCTGATATTGTAAGCAGAAAAGTGCTTGAGGCCTTCTCCTTCTCTATGGCCGTATAAACCTTCATGCTCGAAGTTGGAGTAACATCCCATTCAATCATTTCACCGACAAATATTCACCACCGTTATTTCGAAGCTATCTTTTGATTGTCGGTGAATGATACGGACCCTTTAAAATGATATTCAACATTGAACTTTGTCATATAATTTTATTTCAGTCGTCTTCGCAAATGGGAACACGTAGTTCTATAAATAGTAACATTTCAGCTAATTTGTGTACTCGTACGGTATAATAATAAGTGGACAACAATAGATTATGATTAAAGTCTGTGCGCATGAGAACCTGTCACATTATTATTGCTGCAAACGAACAAGTAATTCTGCTAGTTCCTATTATTAGCAAAACTTTATAGTACAGACTAATTGTTAATATTTGCTGATCAGGACATACAATAGACAGGTTCAAAACAGCCACGCGCAAATAATACATGCGACAATGAGACAATATTGATAAGCCAACGTTCAAAAGTTACAAGGTCAACTTTGTGTATTTTATCGCATCTTTTATTCGCGCGATGCTAATCCGGCGTAACCGAAAGAAGATCTTAAAGTTTGTACAGAAAGTTTTGTGAGTAAGCATACAGGCAAGTAATGATCGTGTTATTGGTGCGTAATAAATATAGGCAGGGATGTAGAATTACTTAATCAGCGATGGCGAGGGTTCTTGCCTCGACCTTTGTTACACGATTATTATGTTATGTCTTTTATGCCAAGATCAGAGGGCGTGACACAATACCGACAGTCGCCAAGAAATATCACGACCCTTGACGTATTGCACTGCATGATCGGCGTATAACCTTCCACATAAATCAACCAATTCGGGTTTTGAGCTGCAAGGTCTGAAAACGGATTGGTGTCGTGCATGTACGTCTATAATAGGTGTGTTTTAAACTCCGATACCTTGCACACATTCCCACCAGTTTGCCAATAGACGTTACCTTTAAAGTTCTTGTAGCCATTCGGCATTCCAATAGGTTGCTTGCTACGGCAGAAAGTTTGTTATCAAAAATATTTGCCGGAAGTCGGGGAAAAATTTAAACACAAGTGCCAATATAATCAAAAGACATTTACTTTTTAGAGGCATAATAAATGCGTTCCAATTTTAAAAAGAGCTTACATCACTTTATGAGATCAAGACCCCCACAAATTTACTTCTCCCAAATTTACTTTCTCCCAAATTTGCTTTCCCACAGATTTACTTTCTGCAATAAATACATATTTTTTTTTCGTACTTTCTGCAGACGATAATCAAAAGGAGAGAACCCATTCGTACTGAATGGGTGCCACCGCAATCAGACCCTTGGAAATTCTGTATACACAAATTTGAATTTCAGTCTTTCATTGGCCGAAATTTATTGAGGTCGACAAAACATTGCCCGATGATCGCAAACGAGGGTCAAAGATCCATTTTCTCAACATTCAGAACGTAGACTAAAAAAGCATAACAAAAAATAACCTATTCTGGAATTTCACCATTCATCAAAAACAAAGATGAGCAGGGTTGAATAGTTAGTTGCCTTGTCATTTGCACGGAATGCTCAAATTAAGTATTGAGGTTATGATAATATTAATATGATATGCAGATCGGATTTTCAGTGCCTGATGTCGCAAAAAGACAAAGAAGAAGGAAACGACAGACAGCCTTGGTTATTGGTCTGGATGAGTTTCGGCTTGAACGTTCAATGAACGTAGTTAATTACCATCATTTGATACCATTCGGTTTATTGTCGGTGGCTATTTCCTTATCTTTTGTGCTTCATGTGTCCACTGCGGGTATCAATAAAACTAATTAATGTGTACGATAACTTACGGTTTAGTAAAACCCGATATTAATATTCTCTTTTTTTGTAGTTACACTGCTATTTTAGTGTGTGGTCTATGTTTATAATCATGCATCCGATCTAACTGTAATGGCAGTTGTAAACCAATCTGCGCCATCAATATTCATTTTGTACTATTGCAAACAGTATATTAATATAGACAGCGCTGCTACTGATCATTCCCCCAACCAGCATGGTGACCATAACAATAAGTATTGCTTATTTAACTTATTTAATTTGCATTTAATTATCGCTTTTCTAGATTTTAGCGTCCTTGTCACTCTCCTCTTATAATATGACCACGTTCCCCTCGCCCCAGCAGCAGTTCCCGGCGACTGCTCACAAATTAACAGACGACACAGCAGGCTTGAATCCGTCGATAACCACACCCTCCACAAATACAAACTCCACTCTCGTTACGCCACTATCCACCTCAACCCGCCTCCTCCATAGACCGCGACAAGAGGCTTCCTCGTCTACTCCAACACCCCCAACCCTACTCCTTCGACAGCATTCAACTACTGAAATTGTCCCCTCCAATACGCTCTGGGAGCAAAACACGGCGTCGATGTCGTCGGGCATATCTGGTATCCACAGTCTACACAACTACTCCCATAACAGTCGCAAGATTCAATCCTTCGACAACACAAACATTCACATTCCTTCTCAAAGACCCTCTCTTCCCTGCTCATTACCCTATACACCCCATTATCCCTCACTTTCTACCGAACACTTTGACCGAACATATGCTGTTCAAGTAACACGACGAAAAAGAGAGCTGTTATTACGCAAGCTGCTATCAGCGTCATTCATAGCTTGTTTGACTGCAATACTAGCTTACTTTTATTTCTCTTCCTCTAACATAAGTAGACAATTGTACAATAGTAAACATGGATCCGGAAACAATATACACATAAATAATATAGATAGCGTCAAGAACAATGATCAAACTAATCAAAGACATTCCATTCATAATCAAGCTGATACCTATACAGACACTTTCTCTTCCGATAGCTCTAGAAACATACATCCAACACATCATACAGATGACATAATTCTCTACCGCATTCTTGGCAATGACCTCCCCCCCAGACACAAAACCGGTCAAACGCTACAAAATCTCAAATTCATTCTCGACAACGAAGAGCCCCTTCCCCGGACTATAAAATGCTGGATCCTCAATCGCATATTTGACCAGTCTTACGAGAAGGCCTTGATCGATTTATTGGAGGCCCACAACCAACAATATCTGAGAATACCTTTTGAAGTCGATGAGTATTTGAAACATGATTTCAGATTGGAAGATTTTCCCGAGTCGGATTTTTTCCATTCAGAAGAGTTTAACAGGTTTACCAATGTTGCTAAATTACGAACCATGGATCATACGTATTATGACAAGAATCTATATGTTATGAATAATGTAAGTTGGAAAAGGAAAGGGTGGGGAAAGGGTAGGAAAAGGGAAAGGATAAGAGAAAAAGATGAGGAATTTTGATGCGAGTCATCTGGATTAGTATAGTCTAGGAGTGGTAACAGATAATCAAAATTACAAGAGAGAATTTTATTTATAAACCTTAATGTCTTGCAAAAATTTCCAGAACGGAGGTCGTAACGCTGCCATTCAACACGGCAAATCCCTTCATAACGTCCGTTGGATTTTCCCACTCGATGGAAACTGTTTTCTTACAGCCAACGCCCATGCTGATATCATTAAGCAACTCGATCTTTACGGCGACGATTACAAATATTTTATTATCCCTATGGCAAGGTTGGTGAACAATACACACCTGCTAGTGGAAGAGGATGAGCGACCGGCCACACCAGAGGAGCCACAAATTGTGTTTAGACACGATGCTGAGATGGCTTACAACTCGACCATGAGATATGGCAGGCGATCAAAGGTAAGATAAGGATTTATGAGGAAACAGGAAACAACAAATATTACATATTCTCGCATACCATTACAACAATGACTGACATTCTATTCTATGATTTCCTCCCACCTTTCCATTCATATTAATAGCTCGAACTCCTCTGGCGTCTAGGCGTACCCCCACGCTCAACCCACCACAAGCAACCCGTTCCGTGGGAAGTCTCGCACCCTACTCCCTCACCACCATCTTCGCCTCTCTACAAGTCTGCCGGCTGGGTTTTCCGCTTATTCTCTGGTCATTCTGCCCAGGAACTTCCTCAAAAAGAAGCTTCTACACTACGCGCACTCAACCGTCTCCTTGCAATACAAGGCTTCATCGACAACGTAGATGAGACCATTGCGAGGACAATACAAGGGTTTAATCCTCAAAAGTTATGGGTATACGATGAGGAAGAATTCGAGAAAGTAAAATTAAATTTGTGGGTGGGAGACGAAAAGACCAAGAAAATAGTGAGGTTTCTGGCTGACAGAGCAAATATGGTTGCAAAGGACATTGAAAAGGATATAGTCGTCGTTGAGAAAAACGTGTGGGCTTTGGGAAATGGATTAAGAAAATGGAATGATCAAAATACGGTTAGAGGCGATGCAGGATTTAATCTGATGTCGGAAACATATAAACAAGAACATTTGGATGAAGAGAACAAAGACAAAGGACAATTTATAGATAATGTAATAACTTATTCTAACTGTCAAGAGCAATCGCAGGAACGAGAGCTCGGTGGAGAAAAGGTCAATAATGGGTATTATTTAGCTACTCCCGACGTACACACTCAAACAGGCTCGAAGTCTCACCGCTGTACACCATCATTCTCGACAAACAATATGCATCTCGCACCTTTATTCGAAAACATCACTACCCTAACCTTATCCCATTATTTCTCCTCGAACGATGTACATGCAAGGCACGCAGCAAATCTCATCCGATGGGTGTTACTGTCGTCTTATGCTGTGGGCGACCAGAACGATCTCGATGTGGTTCATAGTGCAACGGAGAGTGAATCCGATAAATATCCAGATGAGGGATATGCGTTCCCGGCTTTGCATAGAATACCGAGAGTCATGGAGAAATACGCGAAACTTGATAATATGAAATATAAAAATGACGAATACAAGGATTCCAAAAAGGAAAAGGATGAGAGCCAGAACGAGAAATATAACAAAGAAGAGGACGAGATAGTAAAGGAATTACTTCAAACAGACTTGTCACATTTTCTCGATTCTTGTAGACTTCTCTACCGTTCGCATGCCCTATCTCATCACGAATACCTCGAACTCAAATCCCTAGCTTCCACTTGGCTGGAACTTCTCCTCTATTCGCCAAGGGCAATCGCCACATCCCGTCTTCCAGACCATCGTGCTACTCTTTACGACTTGAACGTCTCTGCTCTTGCTGCATTTACAAACGACGTGCGTATGTACCTACGCGTGATCAATCGTTGTCGAATGCGAATCGGAAAGCATTTTCACGTGTCGCCTCACGCTGGGCCTGGACGAATAAAGCAGATATTCGAGATCGATTATGTGAACACATACGGAAACGAAAAGAATGATCCGAATGAATACAATGAGATATTATTAAAGTATAGTACTTCGAATTTACAATATTGGCTGTTGTTAGCACGAGGAGTACAGAACGCTGCTGTCGGAAAAGACTTGTGGCAATATACTGCAAAACAGGGACAGCGTCTTTCGCGGGCCATAATGTCTCATCTGGACTTGTATCATTCTCGAGTGCAAGATGATATCCTTAAACCTTTATTACACATAGCACAGGCTGCACATAGTGTTAGCGATCAAAGAAAAATATGGCACGATCACGGAGACGAACATGACTATTTTCAAAGTTTCTTTAAAAACATTAATGGAAAAATGGACGTTTTTAGCGATTTAGAGGGTAAAGAGGAGTGGAGGAGAATAGTAGAGAGGAGGGTGGGGATTGGGAGCGAAGCTAGAGAGTGGGGTATACCACCTTTTTGGATGCTTGGAATCGCATAAAGGTGTTGGCGTTAATTAGTAGTAATTTATTATAATTGGATGATACATATTTTAATCATCTCCAAGACTGCAACGATATGCTGGCCCTTGCATTGTTGCTTTGTATATTAATTTCTCTGTTTACAAACCGAAGATCTATGTTTATAGTTCTTCCCACATAGAAGAATAGCTATAAAATTGAAAGAATCTAATAAAGCAGAAATTCAGCGATAATCTAGTGAGAATTTCTTACAACTTGGGTGGACCAAAAAAGTTCTTGCCGGCTTGGCTTTATTTCGAATAATAATTTTAAAGCAACTAAGCTATTCCATCAAAATAGTTCCCTCTTACATTGATATTTCTCTTGTGGGACACTATCAAACAGTTGCCTGAAGAGCCCTAACAAATTTCAAAGCGCTTTCTTATTAATTTTAGGAAATAAAGAAGTCACATGACGCTAAATTTAGACTTGGCAATAATCACTATCACCTGTTTCAACCAATTCAGACGATCAATTATTTCTTAATCATCCCACAGGTGCTCGGATATTAATATAGTGTTACGGCGCGCTGACCATGATCGACAATTAATTTTAGAATAGTGGTACGAATTTTGAGCAGTTAATATTAATTATAATAAAAGCAATCCTTATCCCATCGTCAAACTCTCATGTATATGTTGTTTAGTTTTGTTTAAATTATTTTGCAATCCACGGAATTAAATATCAAATAATAATAAACGATTCCCTTTGAAATCGAAATTTTACTTTCTTTCATCGTTGCAATATTAATTATTTATAAACGGCTCACTTAAGCTGCATAAATTTCCGTTGATCTAGACTCTTAATTGAGGAACGAGAGTTATTAATTATTATTAAACCGAATATTGTTTAATTAGTTTGAGACAAGTGACAGAATTTGACTAGTCAAAATACCAAATCGAGATAGCCCTGTTTAATATTAATATTAAGTAGAATTTATTCCCCTTTGATTCCGCAGTAGAATAACGAGTGATTTGAAGCTCGGGGAGGAGTTGAGAAGCGCGCACTTAATTTAATTAAATAAACAGGTCATTTGTAGATTAGAATTCAGTCTTAATTGAACAACTACCGTAATAAGGGCGGTAGCACGAAGCTAATCTGGTAATAACCCCCGGTCGGAAAGAACACGCCAAGCGAAAGATTAATCGCTCTCCCAAACCCGGTTTTACTATTACAAAAAAGAGTAAATTACAGATCTCCACATTTTTTTAGACCAATTTCTTCGATTCATACACCATTCAAGTCGTTGTTTATCATTAAGAAGTGGGTTTAAAGCAGCAGAATTAGAATTAAAACCAATTTGGTGTAATTTCGACAAACTGTCTTAGTTGAAACGTTAAGCCAGTTGATCAATAGGATTCCTTTATGTTCCTAGCTAGTGCTCAGTTATCATTGGTAACAATCTCCTTCAAAACTTTCTTTTCATTCTCACCAAGTAATTTAGGCCGACTACTTCTTTTTTGCTTCTGGCATTCCGAGGCACCATAACGCTGGATAGTTTTTTTACAGTATCAACCTTAAACCCAAGAATTTTGCCAATGTCTGATCTTTAAGACCAATGATTTGTGAACATTCTTGATAATCAGAGCTTTCAAATAATATATAAATTGCAAATAATTTTGGGGCAAACCTGTGCGGTGAGGCGCAGCATTGTCATAAAGTTGCTGTTCTCTTAATATCTTTGCACCTTCGAAAAAAACATGTGATTAGGCATATTGTGATATTTCACCATTTTTAACCCACTGTCGGACGGTGCGTAGTGCTAATGCCTTATGTGCACAAAATTTCATGGATCTTGAGCATATGTCGCGTTTTACTGGTATTGTTCACGCGAAATTCGAACCATTGGTTTTGATAAACAAAATTTGAAGATCAGAACTTGAGCTTTTTATTTGGTTAGTATCATGCTATTATACATTATTGGCAAAGCATGCAGCAAGAACTTTTTGATCCACCCGGTATCTTGCGTGTTCATAATTATTAATACGACTCCGCAACATCATCGTCTTGAATAGTCAAATCTTCCATCAATTCATCCAATCGAACCTCAGGAAAATCTGCTTCCTCTTCCTCGTCCGCTTCTGCACCGTCGATTTCCATCTCGGTCTTTAACTTCTTATTTTTATATAAATTAACTGATTGCCTCAATTCCGGATCTTCTTCCAAATCCCTCAAGAACATCTCATAATCTACGTTATCCTTATCAACGTCGCCCCTCCTAATTCCTCCATCGCCTGCCTCTTTATCTAATTTATTTAACTTCCAATTTCTCGGTTTATTCTTGCGTCGTCGATTGGGATATGCTTTCTTTATTAGGATCACGTCGGGAAGCGAGCTGCGTTCGAGCGAGTCAAATGCAAAGTCGTTAAAGTTTGATGATGCAATATCGTAACCAAGGACAGTATCACCAGCTTTCAAAATTGCTCCAAGATGAGAGCGGGCAAAGAAGACGGTGTCATTTCTGCCAAAATCAGACAAGCGGGCTACTTGTATGTCTGCAAGCACGTACTACACAAATGATAAACAGTAAGTTCGTGAAGTGTTAGTTGCATGTAAAGGCTTTTGTTTGCTGATATCTTTATTACCTTTCCCTTAGTTCTTATAGGTTCTACGTCCAAGACATAATATTGTATTAAATCTTTGGATGAAGCTAAAGACGAAAAAGGTGTTCGCCAATAGACTGCAGTTGGTACGTCTGCCGTCGTTAGTGTATTAGCATCCATTACATTGATGGAATTGGCTACGCGATAGCAGAATACCAATGGGCTACAAACATGGATAAATCGAGTGAGCATGCAATCTTGACTGCCTTATACATCGCCGTCAACATTTCTCATGTTGAACGCTCTTACCTTATGTTTCCTAGTGATTTCGCTGTCTTTGATGGTAAACATATTAAATCGTCTTTGCATATCGGTATGATCTCAACCGAGTATGTGAACTTGTAATTCGATGTATTACTATGAATGTCTGTTGAGATCAACTGTTCAGAAGTCTTCATCCTTGATAAACATGATCTAATCGTCAGCCCAACCCTCATACAACTCTTCTCTGGTCAAAACCACACGCTCTTACCGTACAGGGATTACTGAGGTCAGAAATTCAACCATTTTGATAGCATGCGCTCTCTGCGAATAGAAGAAATCCAGCCCATCTTTAAGCTCTTTAATATTTATCGTATCTTTATGCATACTGTGCTTCAATATCAACTGTTCCAGATAGAAAAATGTCTTCTTGTGATTAACTTTCTGTCTCACTTGCACGATAGACTGCCAAGTATTTTGAGCCATTACTTTCGTGCAATCGCCACACTGCTGGTTACTGACAATATACTCTACTTCAAACGCTTGCTGTAATATAGTCGATGCATGGATTTCCTTTTGTATAGTCAATTTAACCTTGATTCTCTGTGAATGCGGTTCGGTCCAGATAAAAACCGCGTCTATTAGGCGTACTTTATTCAAGCCCTTGAGACGTTTGAGGCAGAGAGACAGGAGCTCACGAGACTCGAGTTGAGCAGAGATCCACAAGTTTGGCGGTTGCAGATAGCGTTCGCATTTACGGCAAAAGTGAAGGACCGATTGTTTAGGGATACCCTCTGTTATGTCATATTCATTGCGAATGCAATTTATGCACATATTCGAGGGATTCGGTGAGATTGTTGTTCCGCATTGGCAACAGAGACTGGGTGGAGTAAAAAAGTTGCTCGAATTAGAGGATTGTTCTTTCTCGTTTAATAGTAACATAACCTTCTTTATGTCTGCCTCTCGTACATTGGATCTGTGGGAGCCTTTCCGAAACGTGTTCCTGCGTAGACAAATATCCTCGCTAAAATGTAAAGTCCATCAAACTTACATTAGTTGCCCCGTCACAACCGGATTATATTGCATGTTTCAGTTTGGTAGGTATGAAATACAATTAGGAGAGTTTTGAATAAACCAATTTGTGTTGGCGTAAAATTTTTTGTGCCGCAGACATTATGTATACAAGATCGCGTTATGTAAACAGGACCAATAAAAATACAGTTAGTAAAGACTAAATTTCATTAGAATGTTTCATTTCGAAAATAAACGATATTATAATAACATTAAATCAATTAATCCTATGCGATTTGATTTCAAATTGTTTATTTACATATCATGCATAGTGAACTTGTTGTCTTGGCTGTTTATAATTACTCTAAGATAGCATTCCGATTATATCGATGTCACGTCACTTGATAAATTAGACGCTAACTAATAATAATCAGACTATTTAACTATTGCGAATGGATACATGTTAACAACTTGGTCATTATAACGTAACGTTGGGCCAAGTATGTGATTCACATCACATCTTTATACTATTCCACCACCCTATCATCCTCAATATCAAGGCCGAACTTGAATCAAGTAACGACAACAAGGGGGGGGTTAGTCTCTGTGCGCCTTACCTATCTGTTAAAAAGACAGCAAATTAGAACTACTGATTTACCTCTGGAATATCAAAATTGGGAAAAACAATTAAGTAAATTGGAGAGTGAGGAAATCATTAACTAGCTTGTGCAAGAGTTAGAAAAAGAAATTAATCATCCGAGTCAACAACCAGCCCTCACTGCCTCTTCCTCCCACAAGGAATCTTTCCCGTTTTGATTTTGGTTGTGGTTTGGAATAATGATGGTTGGTTGATTATTAATAATGGGATGGATCTATAAAAATAAGAAGAAAAAAAAAATAGTAAAATAAACTTATAATTAAATTATTGGTGGAATAATAGTTTCAATGCTTATTAGGGACGCAAAAAGTGGAAATTAATTATGAAAGAAGTAGTATTTTAGTATACATGCGTGTATAAAATTTATATTGGTTTTGGACAAGTAATGTCTTTAAATTCATCTCTACAAACGGGTGAATATTATGATAAAGATACTTGCCTTTTGTAATTCAAAGGAGGAGGGTTTAGTACTAAGATGGAAAAGGATTTAACTTCTTTCAGAAACACA